TTTTTTGCGACACTCCTTTGTGCTTTTATGATAGTTCAGACACCACATAGTATAATAACGTCAAGTTACTTAGATGTTCAGTGATTTTGTAGAGGAAATTCAGCTTTCCAGGATAAAAAGGAATAATTGACATCCACGAAAGCCAGCAATGTGAGTTTTTTATGATTGCTCTGTTGTACTGTATAAGTTAGTTTAACATTCTTAATGCAGTTTAAAATTGTTTGTAACACTCTGTTTTATTTAAGAAGACTTATTTATGTTTGTTTTTTTTTTGTTTTCGTTTTAGTCAGAACCATTGGACTACAAGTACTGATGCGTATCTGATGCTGGTTACTGAAATAAACATACAGAATATTTAACCAAGACTTTATTGTTCTCACTTAAGATCCGTGGGATCTTACAGCAGCAATACAAGGATTGACATTGTTTATAGCCTGAACAATAATTACAGATAAGGACGAACCTGTGTCGCAATTCTCAATCACTGTTTGTTACGTTATATATATCGATATATCATTTACGCGCATTTTCTGTTCACTTATTATTCAGTTTACATTCAAGTTCTAGTGTGTTCATAAACGATTTTGATGTCAATATACTTACATGTAGGCCTATATCTTTACTCGTTGTCATTTCTCTTTTTAAATTCTACATGAACGATGTTTACTTTACCCGCAATTTATATTATCATCTCACTACATTGTTGTATGTGCTGGGATTATCTATCTATCTATCTATCTATCTATCTATCTATCTATCTATTATATTAATGCGTGACCTCAATATAAGGTAAGCGCGTGTCCTCGTACCTTGGCACGTGTATGGGTCGTTCGCATCGTTCCTGAAGCCAGCCGCTGTGCAGTTACAGTAGTAGGATCCCACCAGGTTAACGCAGACGCTCGTGTTCCTTGTGCAGTTATTCGTGTCTTCCCTGGCACATTCGTCCACATCTGGTTAAAAATGACGTAAAAGTTCTAAAGATTGCGCGATTTATAACATTGTTCAATATTTTTCATATAAGTAAAACATACATGTACATGTACAGTGGTCAGTACCTGTTTAACTCACTACGGATCGAGGCTATTTTCGCAACGTTTTAAAATGTTAGAGTTTACTACATTTAACTGTAACTTTAAATTGAATTATTTACATTACCTATACATTTAGAGCCTCTCTGTTCATATCCTGCTGGACAAGCCGAACACGTGAAGTAGGTGTGATTGGCCTCGTTATTGAGTTCTGGTGGCAGAGTTGTACACGTGGTCTGTTCCGGGCATTGGTCAAACGCAGCACACCAGTCAATTAAGGTAGAACAGTGGTCACCTGAAGAAAGAAAAGCACGTTAAGACATTGCTAGGACATTGTATTTGTGGTGGAAGTTACTTTTTCTTCAACGATTTTGTTAAATATAACGGTTCTTCCTTCGGCACATTCATATTGCAATTTACTATGCGCTGTTCCTTTGTGGTAAAAAATTTGAATAATGAGGGTAAACTGTACAATTCGATTAGTTAGAAATTAGGCTATGTTTTTTTATAAACATGGAAGAACAACTGTTTAGGTTTAATACTTCAAGAGATTTGGAAAAGGGGACCAGGGGGCGAACATTATTTATAATTCAATCTAAAATACAAATTTTCTGAAAAAAAAGAAACTTCAAGCTTTTTTGAAATAATGATAACAACTCCAACAACAACAACAACAACAAAAATAATAAAAATAATTACCCCCGTAACCAGTGAAACAGTCGCATTTTACCACTTTATAGACATCACTCATGTCTTCGAGTATGGTGTTGAAGTCGCATGTGCCTTTACCATTACAACCCGAGCACATATTCACAGCGAAGACTGAAGTGGCCACGCCGCCTTTGCCGTCCTTTACCGTGACACTGGTGAAAACGAAAACGAACTTTTATTTAGTAAGACATTTTATCTCAATTTCTCTGCACCAATAGAATATCTGTTGTGACAATGGATTGCGGATGGTTTTGAATACGCCACAAAATTGACATGGGCTCTATGGCCTTTAATATATTCAGCCCAAAATCTTATATTCTGACGAGAAGGGCAGTGGAAATTCAGTTGTCTCATTAGTATTACATCATTAGTATAACAGACATTCTATTTCAATTACTTGTTTCCACATAAAAAAACGTCGTCCAAGTAAATATATTATAAAGTTCAGTACCTTAGGTTAACTTTATTTTCGAAACTGCTTGGGGTCCAGGTGATTTTCCGTGCCGTATCATTAACGATAGAAGTGTTCGCCCCCAGAGATAACACGGCCGTCTCAACAAACGTTAAATTGTCCCCGTCAGGGTCTACGAAAGTTGTGAAGATTTCGTTCTGTTGATTGGCTATAATGTTGATAACTGAAGGCCCGGAAATCACAGGTGCCCGGTTTTCTGTGGAGACAGAAGATTGGCGAATGTATATTAAAAAAAAAGAAAACATGAGGGTTTTGAATGGTTTGAGATCGATTTCTTCTAAAACACAAATTTTCTTCTACTTATTCTATTTTTAAGTGTGTTTTATACTGACATATTTGAATGAAAGTCACTTATGATACATGTAATTCCTAAACTGGGGCATTTCACATGGCCTCATATACCACATACCGACTGTCTTTTCCTGTTCCTCGTTAGTGAGTTGTGTCTCTTTTGTATCCTTAGCAACGTCTAAAGACCTTGTGCGAAGGAAATCGAAAATGCACTGTTTGCTATCCCCGCACAAACGCTTGGCCTCGTCGACCGTGGTCTGGTTGATTCCAGTGGGAATGGCAGTGCCGAAAACCGGAACGAAATTTGAATCTGTGAAGTTGGCTGGTCCGGTGCCAGGTGAGTAGTAAAATAAGGACTCATTTGGGTTGATGTGCCCTGAAACAGTGCGTTAGATAAACAGACATGATGGACATACATGTACATGTATTGTGCATAAATAAACTGCAAGGACGTAGTTACGGTACATGCATCATATCGTTCCTACTAAACGATTACAATTACTTTTGATGCAAATGTAAACACCACAAGCCGTCCTCTCTATTAAAAGCGCACAAAAAGTAGTAAAAATAATTTTTAAAAAAGTACAGAAATGTAGTACTGGGATAGAAATACGTACATTTCTGGCCAAACTCGTAGTAAATCCTTTCCTCATCAGTGGCATTTATGGACAGGACAGTGCCGTTCGGAAGGGCGAAGTCATCATCCGGGTCATTGTTGTAAATTCCCAGCAGCCCTAGTGTCATGTTCGTGTACTCTGCTGGGCAGACCACGAAGACGCGCAGGAGCTGTATTCCTTTTGATACTGTCAGGGCAAACCCTGTAAAAGTAACATCATGTAAAGCTACTTGTAAATAAGATATTGGTTGAAAACTTCCAAGGTCACTAACAACAATCATAGGAAATTAAATCCGATGGTTCAACTACAGTTATATTTCGTTATGTACGAGTGCAGTACATGTACATGTATAATAATCTCTNTTGCATCTTCAACATTTCTGTTAGATCGATAACCGAATCGCAGTGGGTCCAAGGTTTTCGGCAGAATTTCTTTAATAGAATTTAAAACTAATTTTTCTAAAATTTTCATGGGCACCGGAGTCAGGGCCCTGGGTCTAAGATCGTTTAAGCTGGTAACTCGGTTGGATTTTAGTACCGGGATGATAGACGCCGTCTTCCAGAGCAATGGTAATTTGCGGATTTGTAGAGACCAATTGAAGATGACAGTAAAGACGTACGCAAGTTGGTCAGCACACAGTTTAAGAACACGAGGTGAAATTCCATCTGGCACAGACGCCTTATGAACATTGAGACGCATAAATTGCCGTTTTACTTGCCAGGGGTGAATGGTGAGCGGAACTGCTTCGGTATTGTCAGCTTGGGAAGTCGGAGGTAAAACCGTTGTAGAAGAACTATTGTTTTTATCAAAACGTGCATAAAAGTCATTCAGTTTGTCCGGTAGAGACGCGTCCCCTTTGTCGGCAGAGTGTTTTGAGCCCTTGTAGTTAGTAATTAAGGAGATATTTGACCACAGTTCCCTAGAGTTCTTAGTGCTAAAGCTTTCCTCTTAGACTATCTCTTTTGCTTTTCATGCATTTCTTAGCTTCTTTGATCGCCTTCTTCAGTTGGAGTTTAGCTCTGCGATAGGTTTCGGGGTCGTTTTGTTTTTCGCAGAATGCCTGGTCTTTCTTCTTTATTAGTTGGCGTACGTTTTTGGATTGTCATTAGGATACCGGGTCACTGCCTTAGTTGGTATACAAATCTCCTCGCAGAAACGTATGTACTCCGTCACAATCAAGGTGTAATTCTCTATGTTGTTGTCACATTTCAACACAGACCAATCCGTACACTCAAAACAGCCCTACAATTTATCTATAGATGATTGTGAGTAGATGTTAACGTTATGAGATTCGGGTTTCCCTTTTTTCAATTCTTGTTTATATGCTGGAATCAAGAGAATTGTGCAGTGGTCTGAATTCCCCAGAGGTTATCTCCTCATCGCTTTATACGCTCCTTTGACTGGACAGTAGCAGTTATCGAGAGTATTTTTGCCTCTGGTCGGAAAAGTGACATATATTAAAATTAGGACAAAGAAAATATACATAAACTAAAATAATGACTTCGTTCCCCCAGGAACATTATAATAGGACGCCATATATCAAAGCAGTGATAAAAGAGTGTCGTATGCTGGAGGAAACGCTGGATCCAACAAATGTTCCCGCTCTTTACTCAGGTACTGTCGGACCTGCGCATTAGGAAGTTCATCTACCACGCATGCGCTAAGAGCAGATCGAGTTCTCGGTTTTGAGAGATTTGTGTCTCATTTTATGCAGTGAATTAAGTGGAGAACAAGCGTGCATTGATTCCAAAGCAAGACTGCGGTCGGTAGCTCAGCCTGTTGCTCAAACTGTGCGCCGGACTGAAAAATAACTTACCAGTCATTGGTGAGGTAGTCATAACACTCAACGTACAATGTAGAACACTGTTGTCATTCCATTAAAACCACCAATGGCAAATATCTGGTCATCTATTGCCTGAAAGATGTCATAAAACCCGCATAACCTTTTTCTTTTGTTAACTATTGATTATATTTATTCTATTTATAGATATTTCGTTTGACTGATATTTTACTTCTATAAAAAATCGCTTTTTAAGAATGATAATGCACGTCCGGTTGTGTTTGTCTTAACCATATGTATAAGAACTTAACACTTGCTGGTCAGGATTTTTAAGGGGGTGATGGGGAATATAATACATTTTGTACTCCGAACAGAAATTCAAGTTCAAACAAGCTGGATGTGTGTGTGTGTGTGTGTGTGTGTGTGTTTGTGTGTGTATGTGTGTGTGTGTGTGTGTGTGTGTGTAAGAGAGAGAGGGAGAGAGGGAGAGAGATTCATCTCAACTGCAATGTTACTCCTTGGTGTCATCATCTCAGCTATGGGCGTCCAGGTCTTTTTTACAGGATCATAGCGTTCTGCAGAATTCATGCAAACTATGCCGTTAAATCCACCTGTAGCGTAGATGTGCCCTCATTTCCATTAAATCTGCCAACTATGTATATATATATATATATATATATTTCCTTAAACATAAATAAATAGATCAATGAATAGCTAAATAAATCTGATTTTAGTAGAAAAGAAAATGGTTGGGTCTACCTAGGAAGGGCTGTTCACTATCTTTTCGTTTACTCATTTAACACGTGTTTTATTTTTGACAAAACAACCATTAGCATATGAAATGAAGCAAAGTCTGTTAGCAGCAATCTCTCACCATCTAAGGTGGCGGCCGAGGCATCACTTCTCTGTTGGTGCATGGGGGAGATGAAGGACCACTGGTTGTACTTGGGATTATAGCGTTCTGCTGTGTTCATACGATGACGGCCGTCATAACCTCCCATGGCGTAGATAAGCTCCTCACAGACCACGACACTCACGTAACACCTAAAGTGAACTACATTCACATAACACAAAATAAATTATTTGCAATCAAATTGTGCATGCAACTTTACGATTTTAATGATCGGATTTTTTGGAATTTTTGAAAGCAGTTCAACTGACGAAAATAAGTAGCTTGAATAAATATAACAAACACAAATAATGGAAGCAAGCTCAGTTTCTTTATCACCTCTCTCTCTCTCTCTCTCTCTCTCTCTCTCTCTCTCCTCTTGTGGTGCATGGGCGCGCTCTCAGCCCAGGCACGTGTCTCGGGGTCAAACACGCGCACACTGCTGAACTGCTCAGTGCCGTCAAAGCCGCCGATCACGTAGATCTTACCGCCCAGATACACCGACCCGTGGTACGCTCGTGCTGTAGCTGGGCGGTTTATGAAAAATTGTAAAAAATTACATAAACTAATAAATCGATAAATTAATTGAATAATAGATATCATAGATGAAGTTTATAAATAATTTTTTTCGTAATCAAATACCACGTTTTATAGCAAAAAAAAAAAAAAAAAAAAAGGAAGAAGCAGAAAGAGTCGAGTTCAAGTGAGAGAAGAGTGAACGGTAAACTGACAGACAGACAGCCAGAGAGACAGACAGACAGAGGGAGCCCTCAAAGGTGTCCTCCACATCCGGGTCCATGAGGTTCCAACGGTCGCTCAGGAGTCGTACACCTCGATGGCTTTGGTCGGAACAACTGGAACAAACACAATGGACAAGAATGTCACTTTTTAATTCCAATTTATTATTCCATGTGTGTACATTGTAAATAATAATAGGTCTTTTAATTTTTTATGAAGTGATAATATCTTCAATTGAAAAACGACAATAGCCCCTGGATTCTAGAATCGTTTTTTTTTTTTTTTTTTTTGAAACAAGGAACTGGAAGCTAGACACTCACCTTAAGGATGTTTCCATTATGAAGAATATGCATGTATATCATACAGAGAAAGCACGACCACTAATAATTTTATGTTTGCATCACAATGTTGAATAAACCAATATCGTTCACAGTACCTCATGGGGAAGTCTAGGTCGCATCAGGGGGTTGCCTATAGCCAGGTTCATAGCGTTCGTCATCTCAAAGTCATGCATCAGCGCCAGAGTCTGTATAATAATAGGTTTACAGTCCGGGTTGCCCACTGCGAACTCGTTGCTCTTTACATGACGCATGAAATACTCTGTCCCTATCAGACCTGGAAGTATTAAAAGGCAGTTTAATTATCATCATTTACATGTATCTTTACCTTTAGTTGATTATGGATTAATTTATTTACAGGAAAAGGTGTTTTAATTTTTTTATGAGAGGTGGAAATAAAAGCACTCACCCAAACGGAGAGATTTCAAGATGTCGACGATGTATTCCTTCCTTTCGTCAGGCTTTATGGATATCCATCTTATAGCTGCTTCATAGGCAAACCTCTCATCTCTGACGTTGAGGTCGTCCGAATTGAGCAAACTCAACAGCTCATCCGGAGCCAACATCAAAATCTCGTTACTCACCGCCGAGATCTCGCCGAAATTCCTGAGAATGAACTTGAGCGTCATATGCTCCAGGTAGGTGCAGAAATAGGCCTTGGCAAACTGCCAGATTCCCAGGCAGTTCTCGATGCTCAGATGGTGCAGGAGGAACTTGGAGCAGGCCTTGACGAGGCCCAGGATGTGGAACTGGTCAGCCACCGGGAGGAGATGTTCCACGTTATCCTCCGTGATGTGCACCTGGCGGGAAGAGAAACAGATTACCAATAAGAATTATATCCTTTTACTATGGGAAAGAATAGAAAGAGGTCTTCTTAATGTAACCCCCCCCCCTCAAAAAATATTTATTTCCAACACGTCTAAAATAAACACGTGTGCATTAGATGTTCTAGTCATCTACATGTATATGTTTTGTTAGACAGAATTTGAATCAAAAGTTTGTGTCTATTTGTATACAAATTTTTTTTTTGTTTTTAAAGCAACCAATAAATACATTACCTGTCGGCTGTAAGCATACTGAATGATCAGCTCCATATCGGCTGCAGAAACGTTCGGGATAATGATTTCTGACTCAAAAGACTCCGAGAGATCGTTGCTGAACAGAGCGCGGAAGTACGGGCTACACCCGGACATGATGATGCGGTGGACGTGGAAATCTCGTCCGTCGCACTTAATGGTGACGTCACAGAGAGCCCCAGATTCTCGGAGATCATTGAACACATCACAAGCTTGTTTACTTATTCTGCGTTTTATTATATCTCGCTCGGAGTCGGCTGGAACATATATAAGTATTTTTACATATTTAATCATTTTAAGTATATTTTTACAACTAACGACAATACAATGATATAATTGTGAAAAACGTGTGGATCATTTCTTTATTATTAAATTACAGACTTTATTCCATGTTGTGCGGAAGGAGACTTACACGGCAGAAGGTTATGGATGTCTTTGTTTAGTTATGGTTGTTTTATAATACACTATCAAATTAAATACCTATATGAACGCAAAAATGTGTGAGTTAGGTATCAATCTAAAAGTATTCGTTAAACTCAGCATGGTATTACTGTAGGACTCGCAGTGATCTTCAAGTTCAAATATATCAAATGTTAATAGAATAACTAGTATCGGTAATGGTGTAACTCAATTTTTATTTATTTCGAAATACAGAAAAAAAGAAAACATTCAACTGTTTTACATCAAGCACACGTCCAGCAAGAATAGTTTATTACAATCCATACCTCCTTTAATCCCCGTACAGTCCATGCTGTCATCATTGTTTTCCATAGTGAAGTTCAATCACCAGCTCCTTGTTTGTTGTTACCTTGATTCTGCAGA